CCTGTTCGACTCCCTGGCCGGGGGTGTCCCTCAGGGTTGAAGGTTCTCCCTCAGGCTATCTAACATTTACAGAAAACCGCCAGGAGAGATCATCCAGAGTTTTGGAGTTTGGTGTCAAATTTATGCCGACGATACCCAACTCTATCACTCTTTTCCACCCAAAGCCAAGGATGCCACCCTACTTCTGAACCAGTGCCTGTCACCAGTGATGGACTGGGTGAGAGCTCACAAGTTGAGAGTAAGTCCAGACAAAACAGAGGAACGCCTGGTCAGTTGGGAGGTGGATCAGGGTGTGGGGTGTTGGATGGAGTCACACTCTCCTGGAGACATGGTTCACAGTCTGGGGGTGATCCTGGACACATATCGGGGGTGGCCAGGAAAGCTTTCGCACAATTAAAACTTGTGCGAAAACTGCACCCATACCTTGAGATGACAGATTTTGCCATGGTAGTACACATCTTAGTTGCACCCCGTCTGGATTACTGCAACGCTCTCTACGTGGGGCTGTCTTTGAAGGTAGTACAGAAGCTGCAATTGGTCCAAAGATCTGCAGCCAGGTACTGGAGCACCGGACAGGGAACGGACAATTCCTACATTAGGGCACTCTCTGCTTCTGAGCTAAATACAAATGCTGGTCATTACCCAGAAAGCCCCAAACGGTTCAGGACCAGACTATCTACAAAGCCGCATCTCCGAATACAAACCGCCCTGGGCGCTGTGGTTTGCAGAGGAGGCCCTTCTCTCACCCTTGTCGCTGGTGGGGACGGCAGAGGGGGTCTTTTCTGTGGCCTCTCCCCACCTCTGGAACTCCCTCCTGAAAGAAGTAAACATGGCCCCTTATTTATTATTTATTTATTTCAGTTAGTTCTACCCCGCCCTTCTCACCCCCGAGGGGGGACTCAGGGTGGCTTACAAAAAAGGCACAATTTGATGCCTGTGTCAATTATACATACATACATAAAAGCAATTAAACAGTTAACAGGTTAAAATCATCAGTACATAACACAATAGTAAACAATCTCATGCTCAGTGTTCAGAGTTCCATAAATCCATTCCGTTCCGTCAATTCCTGACCATCATCGAGGTCTTTCCTTTAGCTGCCAGAATGTCCAAAAGCCTGGTCCCACATCCAGGTCTTCAATTTTTTTCTGAATGAGAAAAGGGAAGTTGCTGATCTAATCTCCCTGGGGAGTGAGTTCCACAGGTGAGGGGCCACCACCGAGAAGGCCCTACTCCTCATCCCCGCCAGCCTCACTTGTGATAGAGGCGGGGTCGAGAGCAGGGCCTCCCCAGAAGATCTTAAACTCTGAGGTGGGACGTAAAGGGAGATCCGTTCGGACAGAAACACTGGGCCAGAACCGTATAGGGTTTTGTAGGTCATCGGAATTGGATCGGCAGCCAGTGGAGCTGACACAACAGGGGGGTGGTATGCTCCCTGTATGACGCTCCGGTGAGCAATCTGGCTGCCTCCCCCTGGACTAGTTGGAGTTTCCGAGCAGTCTTCAAAGGCAACCCCACGTAGAGTGTATTGCAGTAATCCAATCGGGATGTAACAAGAGCGTGGACCACCGTGGCCAGATCAGACTTCCCAAGGTACGGGCGCAGCTGGCACACAAGTTTTAATTGTGCAAAAGCTCTCCCGGCCACCGCTGAGACCTGGGGTTCCAGGCTCAGCGATGAGTCCAGGATCACTCCCAAGCTGCGTCTTCAGAGGAAGTGTAACCCCGTCTAACACAGGCTGTCACCCTATGCCCTGTTCGGCCTTACGACTGACCAGTAGGACCTTTGTCTTGTCTGGATTCAATTTCAATTTGTTAGCTCCCATCCAGTCCGACACAGCAGCCAAGCACCGGTTCAAGGTCTGGACAGCCTCCTTGGTGACAGGTGGAAAGGAGTGACAGATTTGGACGTCATCTGCATAGAGATAACATCTCATTCCGAAACTCCGGATGATCTCCCCCAGCGGCTTCATGTAGATGTTAAATAACATTGGGGACAGAATTGAACCCTGTGGGACTCCACACAACAACGGTTGTGGGGCCCAACAGGTGTCACCCAGTAACTCCTTCTGGGACCATCCCTAGAGGGAGGTTGAGTCGGCGGGAGACTCGGCCCCCCTCTAACCTGCGGCCTATCCCCAGGTACATCTGTG